AGAATCGATGTTAGGGATTGGGAACTTATCGTCGATAGTGATTTCGTTAAGTTTTCTATAATCCACGACTATTCGCCATTTTCTTTTACCTGAACTATCAATTTTTTTGGGAACTACCCAAATTGGGGAGTTATAAGGTGAATTACTATGTTTTATAATATTTTGGTCTAACATTTCTGCTATTTGTTTTTCTACTTCAAATTCATGAATTTTTGGAAATCGATATATTTTGGAATATATCGGCTGGGAGTGTTTAGTTATTATTGAATGCTTCACAGAGTCAACACAGGTTAATTGTTGACCTTCCTGATAAAACAAATCCCTATTTTCATATATAATATTTTTTAAGTTTTTACACTCTTCTATATTCAAATTTTCGTCCTTGATATGATTATAGATTTCACTCGGACTCAAATTTATTGAATATAGTTCGTGTGTTTCTCTAAATGGGCAGGCATTTTTAAATTTTGTAACTTTGCCCCTAATCTCTATTTCCTGATTCTCTAAGTCTATTTTTGCACCAACTGCATTTAATATGTTTTGCCCTAAGATAGCGTCGAAGTTCCTATTATTAATGTTTACAATTTTCCAAAGAATTTTCGCACTATGGTTAAATTCCATTGGAACATTTGTGAGTTTTTCAAACAAAATATTATTGTTTCCAAATAAGGTGTTAATTTTAATTGGTTTTTCTAATTTATTAGGTTTAATATGAGGCAATATATTTTTATTAATTATAGAGGTAGTAGATCCCGTATCTATTAAGCAATTAATTTTAGTGTTATCAATAGTAAATTCTACTATTGGTAAATTATTTGATTGCGAGGCTCTAACCGAAAATTTTCTTGGTTATCCTCGCCGTGGTTTACGTCAACTTCCATTGGTTCGGAAGGACGATTATTTGATGTATTATTGTTATTATAATTTCTATTCCTTGCACTATAATTATCATTATAATTTCTAAAATTTCCACTATTTCTGTTAAAATTTGAAAAATTTCTGTTATTATTATTATTATTATTATAAAAATTACGCGGATTGTTATTATTATTATTAAAATTACGCGGGTTGTTATTATTATTAAAATTACGCGAGTTGTTGTTATTATTAAAATTATGTGATCTGTTGTTGTTATTGTTGTTATAGTTATTGTTACGATTATTATTCGAAGGATTATTTTGTCTTTTAGAGTTATTGTTATTTTGGCTGTAATAGCCGGAATGATTGGGACCTAAAGTTTGTAAAATTTCATGAAAAGCGTCATCTAAAGTGGTGACGTTTTTCGCTCGCAAAAACATACTATCTGAACGTGGTAACTTATTTAAAAATTTTTCTAAAATACTAGCCTCATTGTTACTCGGGCTAAATTCTATTGGTTTATTATCATCAAGGTTATATTTAAAATTTAGTTTATTTAATATTTCATTTAGATCTATATAAAATTGACTTACATTGTTATATTTGATTAAATCTGCCATTTCTTTAAGCTTTAAATAACTTTCCTGGACTCCAAACGTCCTTTTTAGTTGCCGTTTTATGCTATCCCAATCCGTGGTGGTATTAATTTTTCTGATTGAATCAGCCGCCGGTCCTTGTAACTTGTTGGTGATGATTGATATGATGTATTCTTTTGATCCTTGATCCGGTGCTAGGTTTATAAACGTTTCTGCATCTCTTATAAATGAGCTGAGATCGTAGTCCCTGTTACCTTTGAAGTTGGGTAACGATCTAGCTTCGGTTATGAGATCGCGAATAGTAATTGTATTTGCCATAATTACCTTTCTTTTTTTTTTTTTTTTTTTTTTTGTTTTTTGTTTTTATTTTACTTATAATTTATTGTTAAGGATTTTATGTGATATTGTTAAAAATAAAATTGAAATTTGTTGTTAAAATTTTTGTTATTTTGTTATTCGCACAAAATATATTTTTCCTTTATTTTAAATAAAAAAAAAATATTTTTTTTTTTTCTTATTTATTTTATTCTAGGTTCACCCATTAATTCTTTAAAAAGAAAGCTAATGTTTCAGAAAAATGTTTTCTTGATAACTGTCACTGTTTTGAAATTTGTGTTAAGCACTAATTTGCACTAAAATTCCTTGATAACTGTTACAGTCTTGAAACTAGTTATTTTTCTTTTTATTTTAATAATTAATATTAATTTACACTAGCTGGGCAATCCTACCGACTGCGCCAGTTTTGTGTTTTGTATTTTCTTTTTTTTTAAAGGAAAAATAAATAAAGAGTTATATTTTGTTTATGAATTTAAAACAACTTTATTTTATTTATTTGAATTTTTATTCTTATCTTTTTTTTTATTTAAAATTCTCACAATTAAATTCTCACAATTTAAATTTATTATTTATTATTTATAATTCACAATTTTCTTATATGACAATTTTATTCAATTTGATTTTCTTATGATTTATTATTTTTAATTTTAACAATTTAAATTTATTATTTGTTATTTATAATTCACAATTTTCTTATATGACAATTTTATTCAATTTGATTTTCTTATGATTTATTATTTTTAATTTAAAATTTATATGGCAATTTAATTCGATTTAATTTTCTTACAAAGATAACTTTTCTTTCTTTTACAGGTAATATATGACAATTACTATAGTTTATAAAATAACTGATGTTTTTACTTTTACGGCTAACGACTGATTAAAGCTTAATAATTATAAGAAACATCACATAGTAAGGTAGTTTAAATGAAATTTGTTAATTAAGCATTTTTACATAGCATGATTTTTACACGCGCAAAAGTATAACAGGTAAAAATGCTGATGTGATTATTTATTTTAGAATTTGAATTTAATTTAGTAGAAAGAATAAAAAAAATATTTTAAAAGGAAAAAAAATTGTTTGTTTAAATTAAGTGGAAGTAACGGGTAGAATTACAACTTTATTCGGTTGTATAACTGAATATGTAACTCGCACTTCTCCATGGTAGGGAAGTGTAAGTATGGTAAGGTCTGTCAGGCTGTGTATATCTCAAGTTCGGCCGAACCGATTTTGATGAAACTTTATATGTAAATTTATTTCGACTATGACACGGATTGATCAACTTCTGGGATATATCAGGCATCGGGATGTGCGTTTTTCAGCGGGCCTGTTTTACATTTTAGATCATTATGAAAAAAATATTCAACACATTTACTTGAAATTTCATACAGCTATGGTCAAAATAATAGAAACACCTAATATTTTTGTTCGTAACAATCCCAAATCATTATATTTCCGCCACCATGTTTTACGGTTTTGCGCGTGAACCTGGGATTTAATTCAGTATTTGGTGGTCGTCTAACCAAAGTAGGAATATCTGGCCCAAATAAATTAATTTTTGTTTCGTCCGAACAAAGGATATTGCGCCACTTTTACACCCTCTGGCCCACTGTACTCCGAATGAGTTTTAGCAAAAAGTTTTTCTATGTTTAATATTGTTTTTACTGACATAAGGAACTTTTCGAGCTTCGCGATCAAATAAATTATTTTTGTTCAATATTCCGCGTATGGTTCTACCACTCACATTAGCCTGACATTCTTTTAAAATTGCTTTTGAAGATTTGAATGCGTCTTTTTTACATATCATTACAATTTTTCTGTTCAGTTTTTCACTTGTTTATTGCTTTCTTTTTCATGTTTCAGGACTTTTATTACTTTTTAAAGCGTTAAAAACTAAATGTACTGAACGTTCAATAATTGTGGCAATTTCTTTTACACTTTTTCCTTGGTTTCTTAAGTTTTTAATTATTTATTTTTCCTTAACACTACAATGATTCGATCGAGCCCTAATTCTGCAATATTTTTCCAATTTTTCAAAAAATTAAATTATTTAATTATTATAGTTTAAATATTGTTCAATATTTGCTTAAATAGTTTAAAAAAAAATTAGTTTTATTCATCAATAGAGCTACATTCGTCGGGTGTTTCTATTATTTTGACCAGATGAAATACGGTATTTTTACTTTCAAATGGTGAATTCCCGCAGATTACAGTTTTTTAGTGACAGTAAATATATTCACAATAGAACATAATATAGCAAAATAATTTTGCAAAAGATAGCATTTAATTCGAATATAATTTACAAAAGATATAAAAGAAATTAAAAACGTATATTAAGTGTTTCTATTATTTTGACCATAGCTGTATATCCTATATGAAATTTCATTCGCGGAGTCTCCTAATTTTTGGAAGAACTCAGGCGTCTTTCTTCTCGCCTACTTGACAAGCCATTCTATTTGCCTATTCGATGCCTAGCCATCTTAATAAGCGTATAAATGTTTCGTACTAATGTACTAAACCCTATTTTTCTTTTGTGAACTGTTAATTTGCATAATAATTGATTCTTGCTCTAAGTAATTCCTCTGGTAATAATAATACTGAAATATAATTTTATTGGTTTTCCATGAAATCTTATATAGAGAATATGTTGATCTGCGTGTACGCGTGTATCTCAAATTCAGCTGAATCGATTTTGATAATATTTTCACGGGCCGATTTTACATTTTTGTTCATATAAAGAAAAATAATCAACCAATTTACTTAAAAATGATATTTAGTTTGGGGTGTTAAAACAATGAACTTATGAATTGTTGGGAACGAACTTGACGCCAATTTTACTTCTTTTATTTTTGAAATTTAATAAAGCTCTGGTTTTTACTAAAACTAACTGACGATTCTTCCGGATCGATTGCCACTTTAATATTTTGTTTTATAATTTTGGTTTAAATACTTGACTTTATGTCTGTGACTTTATAAAACACCTTAGAAAGTTAAAAGCTAGCGTTTCAAGTAAATTAAATTCAAAGTTTAGGTCGAATACAATGTAGTATGATTCCAAATTACTTTGTAATTTTGATTTAGTTTTTGTTTATAACCACAAAATCTAATCAATTATCACATCTATTTAGTAGGCAATATGAATAGATTGTAATTCCTATTTAATTAATTAATAATAAGAATAAAAAGAAACAAATTTATTTTCTAGAAAATTTATTTTCCAAATAAAAAATAACTTTTTATTTAAAAACAATTCAATTGAATTCATTTATAATCAAATAATGTAGACAATTCAAATAAAATAAAACTTAACAAATTTCTATACGAATATTTTTTAATATTTTAAATTTTTTTTTCGCATATCACTCATTTTACAATTATACATAATATTGATTATCATAACAATAGCTAGTATAAAATTTATTTGAAAATTTTTAATAAATTCGAAGATTTTTAATTAAAACAAAAAATATTACACAAAATTCTTAAAATCACGCCTGAATATTATCTAATAAATTCGTTTCAAAACTTACACGTTGTTGAATTTTAGCTATATTTCTTACAGCTCTAATTGTCATAAAATTCCAAACACTTAAAACAATTACAACTAATAGGACTACAATTACTAAAAAGTAAAAAAATGAATAATTATTTTTAATACTCTCTCGAATATCTTCAATATTATGAACTTTAACTTCGACAAGTTGTTTTTCACCAAATAATTTTTGTAATTTTTCACCGATTGCATCAAAATTAAAATTAACATTTTCAATTATTTTCTCTCTATTTTTTTCAGAAATTCCTGTATTCTCTTCATTTTCATTTTTTTCTCTTATCGGATTTCTAAGAACTTCTTGAGCTTTATCTTCTTGTGGTTCATCAATTTCACCATTACATTCAATACCGGCTATACTTTTAGCAGTTTTTGGAACATAATGCCATGGTGGTAAATAATCTAAAATAAATTTTATATAATTAAAATTTTTTTTAATAAGATTGTTATAAAAAATATAATTAATTGTTTGGTTTACATATATGCTCGATTTTTGTTAATTGTAACAGAATAAATTTTAAAATTTATGAAAAAATTAGATGGGAGTGCTTAAGTGGGCGTAGACTGTGCAATTAATGAAGTAGTTTTACTATAATATTTTATTGAGGTTTTTAAATATTTTATTAAATTCTGCTATAATTTTAATTGATTGAAGATTTTTGGAGTTTTTTAAAATTATATTTAATTACCATGAGGTCAAAGTATGAGAAAACTTTTCTGTGTATGACTAACATAACGTTCGTCATTTCATCTTTGAATGAAAGTTGATTAATTAAATTACTGAAGGTTCCAATGAACAAATTCGATTTCATGTTTTGAATTTATAATTACAGTAATGGCATCAAATTTTTTATATTAAAATTTGGTATTATTTTTAAATTACATTTCAAAAATGACAGGCGGTAATTGAAAGAAAACTATTAGAAAAAATTTGTAGTTTTCTTATTAAAACAAAAAAAAATTTACTTACACCTTACCAAAATACATACAATAGTACATACGTGTATTTGAAAGTATTTCTTAAAAAGGGAAAATACCACTTGAATTAAATAAGGTGAAAATTAAAAATTTAAGTTACATAAATCGAAAATTTTAACATGATAAGGGAAAAAAACGGGGAATTACCAAAAATTTATTTTGAAGAACAAAATGTTTATCAAATAGCTTATCAATTTCATCATACAATCTACGATCATAGAAAATTTTATAATAACATTTTATATTGGATAAGTGCCAGTTAAATTGTACATATGTATTTTTCAATATTGTATAGTAATTTTTAATAAATTTTTAAATTAAACCTTTATTTCATTCCTCTCTTAGTAAGAATAATAATCTCAATCTCATATTTAAATTTATATAATTTATAAAATCAAATATACATACAATTCAACTTACCTATATATTTGCTACTAAAATATTTAAGCATATTCATTAAATAAGAACAATTCCATTGATTTCCAATTAGTTGAACTTTAAGACCATCCGAGAAAACCTTTGTATTATTATATTCAAATTGACTTAAACGATTTCCACTTAAATCCAATTCTTTTAAATTAATTAATGGTGTTAAAGTATGCCAATCAAGTGATTGAATATTATTATATGAAATATCTAAACTTTTTAAAAATTTAAAATGTGTAAAAGAACTATGAATTAAGTTACATAGATTTGTCGATGATATATTCAATCTGGATAAATTTGTAAATTTCAATTGTTGTAATTTAATATCAAAGCATGTATTATTTGTTTTTGTTTTCGGATTTCCTGATACATCAAATGTCTGTAATATTTGTAATGAATCAAATAATTCTGTATTATTCCCTGTTTTAAATATTTGTATTTCATTTCTTTGTAAATATAATGTTGATAATTTCTTCAAATTTTTTATATTATCAACACCAAATTTTGTTATTTCATTATCACTTAAACTTAAAAATGTTAAAGATGGTAATTTATCAAATAAATTTTCATTTAATATTTTTAATTTATTATTTTGTAAATCTAAACGTTTTAAATCTGGTACATTATCAAAGATTCCATTTGGTAAATTCTCAATTAAATTATAACTTAAATTAAAATTTTCTAATTTTTTCAATTCACTTAATAATTTTGAATCAATTTTTATAATTTTATTTTGTGATAAATTAATATCAGTTAATAAATCATTATTTGTGAAAATATCATCAATTTTTTCTAATTGATTACCACTTAAATTAATTATTTTTAATTTTTTTAATTTTATAAATTCATTTACATCAATTTCTTTTATTTGATTTGATTGTAAATAAAGTTGTTCAATATTTTCATTTGTTATAAAAACTCCAGTTATATTCATTATTCTATTCCGTGATAAATCTAAATTTTGTAAATTTTTAACATTTTGAAATGTTGCTGATGTTATTTCGGTTATTTTATTACCACTCAAATTTATTGTTTTTAAGATACGTTGAACATCATATTGTGGTGTTAACGGTGCTTTTATATCCATTTCACAATCAATTATTGTAATATTTTGAACACGAGGAAATGCACCAAAATAATTTCTTGGCATTTGTGGTAAACTACATTTTTGAAAGATTAATGTTGAAGCATGTGTAAAAGCAGCATAACCATCATAATTAATATCGATCGGTTCATCTTTATATTCGGAAAAATTAAAATATTGACATTGATATTGTTGTTTTCCGGTATCCAAATAATAGCAATTATTTTCTAAATTCGGTATTTTATAACAATAAATATTTGCAATGAAACAAGTAAATATTAAAATATATGAAATTTTTTCGACTTTTGTTGACATTTTGTTTTTTTTTTTTGTTTTTTGATGTAATTTGATATTTTATATAGAAAATAATTTACTAATCACTTTTTTATTTATTTTACACAGCATTTATAAATTATAATGACTATTCTCATTGAATTTGAATCTACGACTAAAATTTATTAATTTTCAGCACTTTTAAATTCCTATACTTATTTTCCAGAATATAGAGTTATCAGTGTTTTCAAAAAAAAAAAATAAGTATTAGCTACTATGTATAAGAAAGAATAATGTAAATTCATTTGATAAGGAACTGTATAAGTGTAATATTATAGATCTACATATATTGCATAAGTAGTACATACAATATTTTATGTAAATAAAGTTCTAGGGAACAATACCCGTACCGTAGTTTCAATAGAATTAAAAAAAAAATTTTTATTAAATTGCAAATCGCCTTAGAACAGATTTTTTTTTTATTTTAATAATTTTATAATTAATTAGAAGTAGACTGTAGGAACACGTATAATGTGTCACGAATTTTCCAATTTCGAATCTTTATTTTCATGATGTCATAGGGTTAAGTTGACATTTTTGTTTTTTGATAGATAATAATAAAAAAGAAATTGCTTATTTGTCATAATGGTTTTTTTTTCGACTTATTTTAATTAATTTGTATTTCAAAATTTAATAAAAAAAAAAAATTAAATTTAAAAGATTATACTTTCTAATTTAATTTTATTTTATATATATAAATTAAAATTAAAGTGAGAACAAAATAATCAACAATAATAAATATTAAAAGACGAAAATATTGAAATTTATATAGTGATAAAGAAAGGTCACGACCCCGCATTATTATCCGAAAATTTGAAGAAACCATAAATATTTTGACATAACAGCATTATATATATTATATATGTATGTATATAATTTATAATATATTCTTAGAATAATCAAAATGTAGTTTGTGGTATGTTTTTAATTTGCCGGTTAAATAAAATTTGACGTAAATAATAACGCAAGCAGACAAGAATTTTTTTTTTTTTAAATTTAAAAATTTTTGAAAACAAAATCAAAAAATTTTAATAATTAAATTAATTAAATAAATCATTGATAAATTTTGACATATTAAATTTGCATGTGGCTATGGTCACAAAATTTGCTAATCACACTAATGTTGACTAAATGTTGACTAAACTAAATGAAAAAGTAACATGTCAAGTTCAATGTCATATATAAAAATGTTAGCCATAAAACGCTATTGTTAATTTTAATCAAAGTCAAGGTGGTTTCTGTACAAAAAAAAAAAAAAATTGTGTCAGAACTTTAATGATTAGATGACAGAAATTTAATAATTATTGAAGTCATATTTTTTGTTAAATTTTTACGTTGTAAAGTAGGAGACTGCGACTATTTTTTACTTTTAGTAAAAAAAAAAATTACTCAAAAAGTGCTTATGTTATTCAAGTAATACTGTTAAACACCAAATACGTATTAAAAAAAATTAACCAAGTATTGTTAAGCTGGCACTTTACCAGAACGTCATCATTCTGATGGTCATGATCACTTCAATTTGCAAATGGCAGTCATATTTTACAATTAATGCAGTATAATACAAAAAAAAAAAAATTAAAAATTAATAATCGTTTGCGGTAGCAGTTCTAGAACTAGAATTCACGACACTAGCGCCAAATTACATTGACTTTGACGACTTTTTCAAATTGTGTTTCACTTTTAAATGACGCACTTGTGAAAGTGACTACTTTGTACTTAAACGTTATAACATAACGCTTAACAAAATAAAAAAATTTAACAAAAAATTTAAAGAATGAAAAAAAAAAGAAAAAAATCTTATCTACAAACCGATATATATAAAAAACTTCATCCCAACTTTTCATAAGTGTCATCTCATTACAACTTTTGTTGAAAATTGGGCTTTTAAAAATATTTATTATGTTTGTAAAGTAGACAGCAATGAAATTAGATCCAAATTGAAATGACAGAGAATCCAATTTAAATAATCTGATATTTCCGAATCATTGAAATAAATAACTCAAACTATACGGAAGGCAGAATACTTTTCCGATATTTCGTTGATATTTCATTCATTATTGAGGTTTAAGAAGCGAACTAAGGTTTTTATCGTAAAAAGGTAAATATCTGCTGATTTTTATTTATTCTTTCGAAAAGTCGAACAAAACGTTTATGAATGAGTACAGTAACGCATTTTGACATATTCAAAATATTCTGATTATTTGGAATAAATAAACAACAACACCCCCTATGCACTAAATAATCAAAAACCAAATTTATACAAATGATTTGTGTCTATAATGAAGTTCTCAAAATTTTTACGATAAAGATCACTGCTATCATTTCTGGCACTATAATAAGTAATGGCAAATAATACCTAATTTTAACGAAAATTAATTTTTTATAAGAGAATGAGACGTTGCCTCAAAATTCAAATGTAATTCAAATTTTTTCTCAAAAAAATCTTGTTTCAAAACGCAATTGCAAATTAATAATGTAGCCACAAAATTATCATTATTATTATTTTTTTTTTTTGATGACTAAATAATAATTTTATAATAATGTCATTGTTTTGTAATTGTAAGCATTTTGACACAATTTTATTTATTTTTTTTTTTACAACATTATTCCACTTTCAATAACTTTATTGGTTTTTAATATAAGAAAATTGTAATTGTGTGATAATTGAATTTTATTATCTTGTATAGTGTAAAATAAAATAAATAAACAAAAAGATTATTGAATTCGAAACGTGATGTATAACCTTGAATTTCTTATGATAAATTGCAGTCTTTGCAGTTTCCTGTACATGAGTTCATTGAAATTTGATACGGTTGAAAATATCTTAAAAGTAAATTTATTTTTACCACAATATTTTGATTATATTTTAAAATGAAAACAAAACATTGTTGCATACAAACACACTTACATATGTGAGAACACAAAAAATTTTTCATTGCGATAATTTTAATATCTTTTTTGAATATTATAATTTTTATTTTAAGCCAGACGGCCTCTTAATGCCCGATAAACATAATTTTTGGAAAAAAAAAATAATTAATCAAAATAAAGAGTTTTAGATTTAATATCAAGAAATTACAAAGTTGACTTTAATGAATTTTAATTGCCGTACATTTGTTTTCATAGGATTTCTGGCAAACAAGTGGTAGAAGAGATTTGAACTCATGTTGTAGGGGTATACTCGTATCTATACAATATAAGCATACTTGTTCGAACACTGTTAATTTTTTTTTAGTTTTGTAATTGTCTTCCGAAATATTATTAAATTAATTTTAAAATAGCATGTCATTTACTCGAACATTCATTAAATTTCAATTAAATGGAAAAAATATAGTCTAAAACTACAAGCGTAATAACAAATTAATAATATCCCCCAAAAATGATATGCATTTCTGTATAGTTTGTACAAGTAAAATTTTAATGAAATTCGAATTGGGCGCGATTCAGATACGTATTTAATAGATTTTTCTTAAATGTGAGTTCTATTAGAACTATAATATGGGAAACCAAAAATAATGTATGGAAATTAACAAAATTTACACAAAAATTATACGTTATTATCAAGATATGTAACTGAGAAATTCGCAGCAGATCGAAAGAAAACATACCCTAGAATTAATCAGAAGGTACAAAATATCAATAAATTGTTCTACTACTCGATTGTATACTCTAAATTGTATACTATAATTAGGCAGAAACATTAAACTTAATATTTGTAGTTTTAATTTTGAAACTGAATTTTAGAAAATCTATAAATATACTATAAATATTCCAAATCGTGAAATATATAATATTATTTTGTAAGCCTTAAATACACAAATATTTTTACGGAATATTTAAACTTACTTAAAAAGGAATGACATAAAGTAAATTCGAATACAACTTGTATAAAATTTAATATTTCGAAAATATTATAATAACAACAACATCATTAAAATTTTAATTATAATTTTTCAAATATGTTTTTTTTTTTTTTTTTTTGGTTTTTTCTCCTCATTTGTAACCTCATTTTTTAATTAATTCATAATTTTAGGTTTTGATTGTCATATTGTTTTTAAGCACATATTGCAATAAAAATTCAAACCT